TTCAATCAGATAAAAAATTTGCGATTAAAATGCGGTTAATCGCGAGTTAACTCAGGCATTGATGCGATTAATTGCGATTAAAAAAATTTAATCGCTTGACAGCACTAAAATACCTTTCAGCTATTGCTTGTGTTTTTAAAGTGGAAATGAAACAGTTAACCAAACTAATTTAAGTCACTAGATTGTGTCTTGCTGCTACCATTTATTATATTACAAATGTGAAAAATATCAAGATAAAAGGAAACTTTTTTTTTTTTTTACTTTTTGGGAAGGAAGCCGCCATGTTGCAATGCTTCCAGCGGTGATGTCAAGGGGTTGGTTGATCCTTCAACTAGCAGTTGAATACATTGGAAATGTATATACACTGGATATACATCAGAACCGTAAAACACCTATGAAATTTTGTATAATAGAAGAAGAACCTAGAAGGTTTGACTTTAAGCTTAAAATGTAGCTGTCTTTTTTACAGTACATCAATAACCGTGTAATAACATTGTAATAATACAGCAAGTTACACTATATTACTAGGTAACAAGAAACCCTTCAGGGAGAACTTTGGTAAGTGCTGTGCCTCAAATTTTAGGCAGACAAAGTAAAGCCTTCTTAGATGTCAAACCATAATTACAGGTAAATTAGTAATTTCACCAACAGCAATAAATTGATCTGTTATTATCTAGTAAAATGCAGTTTATTACTTGGCATATAACGGAAAACCAAACCTAAAATATAGAAAGCCAATCTTCTTAACTAAACTCTTATTTATATGTAACTTAAGTTCAGTTTTATAATTTATACTTTATTTACCTGATCACAATAATAATAATAATAGAATAGAATAATAGAATAATAATAGAAACTGAGTAATAAACAAGTATCCATTGTTACATAGTAACATACAACTCTAACAATTACATGCAGGTAATTTTGGGTTAAATACCAAATAAAGTTTTTCCTGTTACCAAGTAATATAGTGTGACTTGCTATGTTATTAACATGTTATTACATGGTTATTAATGTATTTTAAAAGTAAGAGTTAACAAAATTCACACATAATGACCATGTTTAGGCATCAGCAACAATTAGTTGCCTTCAAATAAAAATATTTAACAAACATTTTTGGAAAGTGAACACAGTGAAGTGAACATAAACAGACCAAATTGATCTTTTTTTTCTTAAGGTGGGCTACAACTATTCAGAAAAACAAAAAAAAAACACACCTAGTCTGATAATAGTATATATATTAAAATAACCACTCATTAGAGGCTGCTGGTATTCCAACCTTTGGTATTCATCAGATAGAGTGTAGCTTAGCTGGAATTTAAAACCAAACCGATTTTTGTGGTTAAATTGAATAAGAGTGTTTAAAGTTTTTCTAGAAACGGCAGGTCTAAAAAGGCAAGAAACACCCCTACAGCCCCTGACACACACAAATAAACAAGAGGTAGAAAAAGAAGAAAAGAATATATTTAAACACCATTTTCAGATGCAGTTCCAGTGTCCCAAACATTCTGGGTTTAATACAAAGGGAGGTGAACAGTAGATGGGAATCAAAGAACTTCCTGATTTCAGAATCAGAAACAGAAAAAGCTTAATTACCAAGTAGTGTTTTAGCCATAATAAGGAATTTCTTTTGGTGATGATGTGCTAGATGTAGACAGGAAAAGATAAAGCTGGCATATATGGGTATGGAAATATATAATTTGGAATAAAAAAAGCAAGTTAACCCTTTAAAGCCTGATCCAAGAATAGAACCAAACAGAAAATTATTTTTTTTGGTTTGAAGTCCTTATTTCCCTTTTAACAAAATATGTAAAAACAAGTTTTTACCATTAAATTATGCAAAAGGTGTCAGATGCAAAACATTTCAGAAACCGTATGTATCAAATACGATACATTTGGCATTATACGGTAAAATGTGAAATTTCTGACAATAGAGAAGAATAAGAAAAAGAAAAAATTTATCAAGTATTATTCGAAAAAAGTTTCTCGGGATGTTTGTGTTTTAAAATTACTATGTAACCTAAAATTTTAATTCATGTCAGATTCATGTATTTCATATTTTTCTTTAATAAATGGATTTTTGCACACTTCTTTGTGCTTAGTTTAAAGAATAACAAAGTTTAATTTGTGTATGTACACATTTATTGAATTAAAGTTACTCTCATAATAATATAAAGCTAAAAGAAATGTAAATATTAAAGTCTGCCTAAAGAAATATCTGGAAACATCTAAAAATTCCAGTTGAAGCAGTTTTTTAGGTTTTGCTCAATCTAATGTGAATAACCTTTCATCTTTACGTTTGTACTCACGAGTAATCTATTCTGTCGATTCCTCTGTAAAAGCCGATACCGTCAGATGTGTTCCTCAAATGGTGACACTTATCATCAATCCTTTGAGCAGATACTTTGTCTCCCAAGTCTTTTTCCAGCTCATGTTGGGCACCTCGATTTGACCTAAGAAAGAAAAACACACAAGTGATAAAATCAGTTGTTTTAATCCTGAATTTGTAATCAGAATTACTGCTTACTGTTATATCTAAATGCTTACGCCAGCTGAGCGGTGGCTCTCTCTAGATGGCGCCTCATCCGCTCCTGACATGACCTTATAACCTCCACTTCCTTTTATTAGTTGGGAGTCAATTCACACTTTTTACAAACAATAAGTTGGTTTAAGAACTAAGATATTGGTGCTGTTGGTTTACCTTTGTTAGGTCTTTTTCTACATCGTCGTGTACCAGGTCAATGGACATCCGCTTCTCTCTGTGGTACAAACACTCTTGAGCCACCTATAGGCAGAATGAAAGGGACTAAAACAAGTTGAGGTGGTCGGGTAAAATTAAAGCTTGATTAAAATCAAACAACTGTGTCTAAAAACTCAAGCAGATGAAGAACTGGTGTAAAGCCCCATGAAGTCCTTGCTATTGAAAAATAATCTACACCAATTTATAGATGGATGTTAGTCTTGGTCAAAGATGTCGTCTAGTTTCAGTCTGTATGAGAAACTTTAAAGAAAAATCCCAGCTGCGTGTTATTAGTCTCTCAAGGTATACATGCCATTGGGCTTTTACCTGGCTAGTGTAAAGTTAGTGTACTGCTAGTGTAGCACTGCTGATTACTGCTAGTTCTCATCAACACTAAGCTTGATGAGCACCAGCACTCTACTATCCTGCTAAAATGTTCCAATCAAAGGTTTTCACAGGAAAGTCACTCCACAAAACACCAAATATTACCTTTTGTCATAATTGTGCCCTATGTGGACTTCTGTTTAAGTTTCTTTTTAAGTTTTCAGTTCCAGTTTGTGTTATGTATCAGTTTGTGTTATATTTAAGCAGTGTTGTATTTTTTTAGTTGCTCTCTGTTGCCCCCTTGTGTCACGCTCGTTTCCCTTTGCTCCTTCTGGTTACATCTGTCTACACCTGCTCCCTATCAGCAGAGGAGGATTTACCATTAGGCAATACTAGGCAGTTGCCAAGGGCTCCAAGTTCCTGGGGGCTCCATAAAACCCTGTTTAGATGTATGGTTAATACATACATTCCTTATTTGTGCACATCAATTATGTTTTTGATAAAAATCCAAAGGTCCAAACAGACAGCAGCAAACCATTTGAAAACCAACGATGCACAAAGCAGGTTTACCAACTTAGTTCTTTTGTTGCTATATTTAGCGACTTTTCAAACCCCACTTGTACATTTATTTCAAAAAAGAACCTAGTGCCAAATCTAGGGACTTCTTTCTGCTACCGGAGACTTTGCCGACAACGTATAAAAGCAGAGAACTCTTCTCTCCAGAGCAAGTAGATTGGTAACCCCGCCTCCTGCTCTCCTTTATCTTGTCTGCTGTCATGATTCATGCAGCTATTATTTTATCCAAATGAAAAATGGAGAACAGATAAGCAGATCATGGCTTGTCTACAGTGAAAAGAAGGACAGGAAGAAGCAATCAGCTAAGTGAGCTTAGTGCTTGGAAACAATCTTTCCTTCCTTTTGAGACAGCATGAAAAGTCAGAGAGGAAAACAACAAGAAAAGGGACAAGAAGAAATTGACAAAATGTAGAACAAATAATGGATGTCTATTCTATTAAAATTTCTGTATCTGAATAATGGGTCTGTTTTATGTGTTATCGTCTCAATTCAGAGGGCCCCCTGCTGGTCTTTGCCTAAGGCCCCAAATTTCCTAAATCTATCCCTGCCTATCAGATCATTAGTCGTCCTATTGTTTCTGTCTCCCATATATACACCTCCTGTTCAGTGACTCTTTGCTGGTTTCTTGTTCTTACTCTGCCCTCCATGTGTGTTTTCCCCTGATGTCTCCTGGTTTTTGGTTCTTGGATTTTGTTTCTGTTGACTTTTTGATTTCATAAAACCTCCAAGAACTCATCTCTGTCTCCCTGGTTGGGTCCTCAACCAACCTCCAGCCAACCTGACACCTCAGCCTAGATCAATTTGCCAGTTGACCTAAAACCACGACGAAACCTTAAAGTACACATTTTTACATTATGTGTCTAAAAAAAGACGATTGTTAAAAAGTTAAACCCATTCTAACCTGAAGGGGCCCCTCAGTCTCTGCCAAGGCTCTCTCCAGCCTTCTTTTCACTTCATTGAGTGCCGCTATCTCTGTCACCATGTTGTCAATCTCATGGCTGAGCTCAGACCTCCAGAAGACAATATCATTTAGCCTTTCTCCAATATTCTTGCTGGTGTTTTCCTGCGTTCTTCTGGTCAGCTGCTCTTTATCCTGCATCAACCTGATGGTGTCTCTCCTCAGTCGTTCAGCGCTCTTCCGTGACGACTCTGACTCCCTGTAATTGATGTGGTTGGACTTGTACCAATCATCAGGGGTGTAGCGGGTAGTTAGTGTGGTCCTGTTAGAGGGGTAGAAAATGGTTTTGGCTCGAACCAGATCAAAATTACTATGCTGTGTGGAGGAGGTCAAAGGGAGAACACTGCTGCTCTTGTAATAGCTGTTGGTTCTCCAAATATTGGCACTGGGATTCATCGCCAAGACTTGCTGAGGGTTGCGGTAGCTTGATGCCATAGTGGAGATGGCAGGAAGGAAGTGGCTGGTTTTTGGCCGTGCATAAGTTGCGGTCCGAGTTGATCCAAGCAGCTCCATTTTCGATGAAACTTCTTTCTCCTTTTGGAAATAATTGAAAACGTGTAAGGAAAATGATATGTTTTCATTTCTCAACAACAAAATCTAAGGTGTAATGGGTATTTCAACTCATCCACTTTTTGCCTGCTGCCCCAAAATAAGATTCATTTGCAACCATTTGCCTTCAGTATTATAGACTCTTTCTGCTCTCTGTGATCTCAGTGTAACATATGAAATATTTAGAGTTTGTTGGTTAAGATTAGTGAAAAATATTAATTATCAAAATTAAATTAGATTAATTTTGTTAAATTACTGAGTAGGAATATATAAGTTTACATGTCCTGTAACTCCCTTTTGAACACGTAGGAGGGCAAGTACTATGTGAAAATTTGAAATGCTTATATTATTAAGGTTTGAACATGTAATGAACTATGGGAAATGAATAGTTAAGGAAAAACACCAAGCTAAAAATATGCTTAGACCTGTCAGAGGTTAATTTTTGGAGACATTTAGATGAGGAATGGGGTTTTAGAACATTATTACAAACTTAAAACATGCCAAGGAGGACTGACTAGTCCAGAAAAGTGAAATTTGAAGCTGATTTGAGGAAAAAAAAGAAAAAAACCCTAATAAAAAAGTCTAATATCATCTGTATAACTGTGATTTGATTTTCTTTAATATGTTAGTAATCTTTTTTTACTTTGAAAAAGACCTAAAAAAAAACAGAGTTTAAGAATTCAAATACTATTAATCCCAACAATAGTCTTCGAAGAAGAAAGTTCAATAGTGAGATATATAATGTATATATATCTTAAATGCTGAGATATTAAATGTCTTATCTTAATAAAACATTGAATTAAAATCCAAATACCAAAAAAAAAATTACTTACCCAGAAGATTATTTGTCCCTTGTTAACAAAGACCAGCTAGCACCAAGCTGTGTATACCTAAGAATGAATCTAAGAACACAGTTAAGGTGAACTGACATGCATAATAGATAAAGAAGTTTGTGAGTCATTGATTCGGTCAGCCAATAACGTTGCACCTTCATTGAACACAGGAGCTGTCCAAGATTTCTGTTGACACAGAAGCAGTTGCCATGGGTTACTGCAACACTATGCCAATGGATTATGAGAATAATGACCGCCACAAGGTTTCTGTTTGTTTGCTTCATAATTAAAATGTTTGACAGAATCTTATTAAATTGGTATTTTTTAGGCTCCAGCTACATTTAGTCCATAGCCTTTTTTTATATATATATTCTGTTTATTTCATGGTTGTATAATGAATTTTAATCTAATCAGGAAAAGATACACAACTAACTTATTCACTTTACATGGGGATAATTGATTCATACAAACTAAATACCAGCATCATTTAAGTTACTAACATATTATATTTTTTAATACCACATGTTGATATACTTTTTTTGCTCTAGATATTTTTCAAAAATCTAAATTCTTTTCAAAAGCAGGATTTTACTTCTTCATGCAGCATCAGGTGTCTTATTGTCTGTCTGAGAATCCAGTGCTCTGTATGGATTACAGTCAGTTATTTAATAATTTACGCCACAGGAAGAGTGCAAACAAACCCCTGTAGCACAGAGTAGTAATCTGGGTTGTGTAACCTGTCACTGCAGCTGGAGTTCATTTCCACTAATTAGTCCTGAGGAGGTATGTGGCTGGTCAGACTATAACCCAGCTTTGCACTAGAAAGAGAAGTAAAGCTGCAGGAGTTAGGAGTTAGTCAGGAGTTTCTCAGCCACTTTAAACCTTTATTACAGTTTTAGGAGCTGAAGAGTGTTTAATAAGCAGATAGTTAAATATGAGTGATTCGTGTCAGATTTAAGATAGGCAGAAAAATTTAATTCATGTTGAAGCCTGACATTTAAATTACACAAAAAGTGATGAAAACCAACTGATATTTTATCAATATTGATTCACCCATTGTCTAAATATGGATCTAAATTTGTGTAGATTCTAAATTGAATCAAAATTAAGGAATCAGTATTGATTTATGTATAATTTACATTAAAATATTCAACTTTTTTAAAGCCTTTGTGAGCTATGAGAAAAGTTTCGTTTTTGACCAGTGAGTTTCTGCTGATGGGCCTACATCATAATACACCATTGCAGGTTTCTTCATTAAAAACTAAAAACCTTGTAAGATTCTGTAGTGGCATCATCCCTCCTTTACGCTGTAGTCTGCTGAACCCCAGGCAGCACAGAGGAGGACAGAAATCCTGGGCTGCGCTCTGGACTCAGTGGAGGAAGTGGCTGAAAGGAGGGTGCTGTCCAAGCTTATATCCATCATGGACAACACCTTTCTCCCCCTGCACAAGACTGTAGAGGAGCTGAGCAGCTCCTTTAGACTTATACACCCCATGGGTAAAAAGGAGCGCTACCGCAGGACATTAGTCCCTGCTGCCATTAGAGTTCACTGCAAAAACGATTTAGAAATAAGTAAAAATGTCTTAAATTAAGTGTATTTACCCTTAATTTGAGTAGGTAAATGATATAGTTTTCCAATGGAATGAGGATCTCTACTCTTAAAATAAGGTAATTAGATGATATACACTTGAAATAAGACAATTCAATATCCTTTTTCTTATTTTAAGTGTAAATTGTCTTGTTCCATTGGCAAAGTCTCACTTAGTTCCTCAATTCAAGAAAAAATGCACTTATTTTTAGAAAAAATTACTTATTTAGATTTAGATTTTTTCCAGTGTTTACAATACTTCTGCACTATAACCTGGTGTAATAACAGTGCAATAACTTATGCTATTTATCTATTTACAAACCAGAAACTGCACTTTAACTGACTTCCTGCACCTTTTCCTCCTTTGTGCAACTTCTGTTTGTTTACAAGACCCAATGTCACAGGTGAATTATGAGTTCAATAAACTTCTATTTAATAGTGGTTGTTTAAACACCATATTGCTGGCAGATGATGGGTGTAATATTGCTCAAAATGATGTTATATGACAATATTTCTAAAAGTGGTTCAACATCCAAGACATCCAGAAACTTGTCCCTGAGCAACAGGTGTGGGAGAGATGGCAACAAATATAATTTGTGATAGCTGGTCCACATCATATTATCTTTTGAAATTGAAAGCACCCATTTCAGGGCTTTGACAGATTTCTACAGTCTTTAAAAGTCTTTCTTTCAATGGGGGGCGTGGGTGTTACTGCCACTATAACCAATGACCAGTTAACCAGGGAAGGGTGATCACAGCAACAACCGGTGAACGATAAGAAAAGACAGAGAAAAAAAGCATTAATAGATTCAATATGTTGGCATTTTAATCAGTAGAATTTGACCACCAAAACACATATTTTTTTAAAATATTATATTAAATGTCTAGAGCTGGATGATTGTTTGGTGTTTGGTCCACAATCTACCACCAGAAAAATCTGTTTGTCCTCTTTTTCTATGTGCATATTCATATGGTTGTTGGGTAGTGGTGCTTCAGTAGTTAAACTAATAAAAAATCACTTTTTCTTCTCCTGTAAGTGCTCCCACTTTGTTCCCCAGTTGTAAGAATCTGCATGTCTTTATGTTGCTTCCTGGCAGATGACTAACAGATCAAATCAGTTTGTTTTTTTCTAGAAAGGTTTATCTATAAATTGCAAAAAAGGTTGACTATAAATATTCTGTAGCTGAAGAGGCAATTTTCTTCCAATGAAAACAATTCAATCTTACTAACTTTATTTAACATCTATTATCTTGTTAACTGATGCTCATATCTGATTGTAATTTCTTCTGACAGCTTGTCATGATCTGGCCTGTTTGCTCTCCCTTAATTAGTCATTCTTTTCACCTGTTGTTTTCCCTCCCTGCCTCAATTATAATTTATTCCTCTCACCTGTTTCCTCT